GTCCTCTGAATTCTTAAGGAAATTGTATTGTATTCGAAATAGTCCTTAAATACACGTCTTGACCTCCACCTTTGGATCACAACGAGAATACGCTTAGAAATTTATTGACAAATTCATACACTTTGTTACCTGACTATCTAAAATACAGTCCTTGTTTAGGTTTTTCCTTTTGTTCAGTCCTGTGTCTTTAAATGAACGGAATACACTGATGCAAGCTATTAGAAATAGGAATAGAAACTTTTGTATTCAATATCTAATATATAATGTCTAATATATTAAAAAAAAATTGTTTTTTCGTATTTTATGCGTTTCCATACCGTTCATCAAATTGCGCTAAAACTTTATCAACTTATTGCTTGCACTTTCGCGAACAAACACTTACAATTAACTTACAGTAGGTGAAGCGCGTGTCGTACCGATAAATTTATTTAAACGTTATAATGCATATATCATTCAACTTTAATTAATGTATTACCATTCCCAATTAAACAATATTAAAACGATATTAACGCGCGGACCATCAGTTAGTAGATTGTAAATAATCTATACTAATATAATAAAGCGGAAGAGCTTTTTAGTTTTTTTGTTTGTTTAAACGCGCTAATCTCTGGAACTACCAGTCCGATTTGAAAAATTATTTTTGTATATTATAGCCAGATTCATGTGGAATAGTATAGGCTATCTAACATTAAGCTATATCACTCAGCTAGCCTTAAATATAGATATTTGTTAAGGAAGTCAGAAGAAAAAGCACTCCCGTAATGATTTACGTACGCTGGTGTTATCGTTAGGGATACGTAAATACAATGTTCTAGAAAAATATAGATCTTTATTCCGTCTAAATAAAAGTGCGCGATACCATATGTCTATTTCTTATAAATAAGCCATAATTAGGTATTTTGTGACAAAAAAATATTGAAAATTTAAAAGTGATTTATGAGCGTTATTATTAGGCATGGCCTATTTATCCTTACGAACGAAAGTTACTTCATCATCAAGACTATTTTATGAAGATAAACTTTGTTCTTCATACCATGTTATTTGGACGCATGGTTTAAGAGATAATGTAAAATTAACATAATTCAATACTTGGCTGGTCGCGCGAACGATACATTAACCCTAGCCGCCCGATGAGAATGCATGAATCATACATAATATGCCCACAGATAAAAGTACTCCATTAATTATGCCAATTTTTCCATCTATTGCTATCAAATAAAATATTTAATTGCAATTATAAAATGCTTGAACTAGGTCATGTCGCTCACCACCGACACGTGATGACGCGGGTGAAACCGCGGGGCACAGCTAGTACTTATAGAAAGTTACACTTATATTAATTTACCACTCGTTCAAATCACTGGTAAAATACCACTGTCCTAGCAAGACCCAGCAAGAAACTCACTAAGACTTTAAAAAAAAATAAAGGACAGTTTACAATCATTAAAGTTCTATTTACAATAATTAAAAACATGTTAAACAAATAAGAAACATCTTAGTAGCGGCTATTGACGGTTTACAGTCAATAGTCAAGAGACTGAATGAAAATGATAATGCAATGAAATAGTAAGTAGACTTTAAAGTTCCAACATAAGAAGTAATTAGTGGGAATGGTCCTCAGTCATGCTCGAGGTAGAAGTTTGTTTTCTATTTTTGAAAAGATTTTTCTGTAATGTAACAAATTGATGAAATCATGCGGAAAGGATACTTAAATTACAAACGTATTGACCTAAAATTGTGTATTCATTTTCTTAATTGAAATGACAATTTGACCTACCGTACTGGGCTTTCGGTCTTTGAGTATATAGTTAATGTCTTCAAAATTCTTGTATAAATTACCTACGTAACTGTTTTTTTTTAATTTAATTTTAACATCTGATAAGTAAATAATGTGTCTGGGTTTAGATATAGTTGATTTATGAAAATAATTTAAGGTATGGTAATAAAAAACAAAAAAGAGCTCTGTAAAAAAATACGGTTCTCGAGAATCCTTCTCTTTGAATTCATATCGAAATCATAATTCTGTTTCGTTTTGCAAAGCAATGCAGAGCTCAAAGCGTACAATTGAACACAGAAATTGTCTTTCGATATAGTAATTCGATAACCTTGTGTCTAAATTGTGCTTAGTCTGGTAATACATCGAAGATTCTACTTTTAGTATTATTTTATAGACTAAGGGTGACAAGAGCGCACATATTCCATAGACACTTCCATCTATTCTCGATTAATAGTCAAAATGTACATGCGTTGTTACCCTCAGGTGCAAGATAGAATGTATCGTTTTCAGTGAAAGGGCTCTCCGGTTCGGTTCTATATTGTGTGAAAACGTGCTCCTACCCAAGTCACAGCTGCGGCGTGCGGGTAACTCTGCCACGTTAAAACTGCAACGTGACTTACTATAATGTTGCGTTTTATTTCTTCTACAATCTCGATCTTCTATCGTGTGACTATAATCTCCCACCCAATTCTTAAGTACACTACTCCTCCATGGCCTTCCCCGTAGATTACCACAAAGTATGATGGTGATACAACTACATCCATCGATTACTCCATGTTTCATCAAGTCGTTACTCCATCTAGTGTGATATCATCGCGTCATAAGAGACGATAGAGGGTTTCTAAATAAATAAATAACTGCACTTTACAAGCTGCCCCGTGGCAACTATAGCTATGGGCTTAATTGGTATTAACGACTTCGATGTTTGTTGATATGTTCAGTGACTTGCTTTGCATATATGTATTTATAGTTCAGATGCGCAGACACTTGATACACAAAACCGCATCACTTTCACGTCGGTCAAACTGCCTAAACTCATATTAAGAGCTGTCAGCATTATTATTAATAGAGCTTAAAAGAAAAATAAACATTAATAAAATCTTTATTTCGCGTTTTTAGCTACCTACCTGATGACATGTTTAAAACTAATATTCTACTTTATTTAAACCTGCCATCAGGTCGGTGAAATAAAAATTCCCTAAGATTCCCTAAGATTATACATCTATACAAATAAATAAAATTGAAGTGTCTGTTTGTAATGTCAATATTACAGCTTATTACTAAACGCATATGAAAGTATATACTGTACTAATAACAAAAATACAATTTTTAAAGTTTTTGTCTATCTGTCTGTCTGTCTGTCTGTCGGTCTGTCCGTCTGTCTGTCTATTTGTTCCGGCTAATCTCCGAAACAGCTGGACCGATTTTGACGGGATTTTCATTGGCAGATAGCTGATGTCACAAGGAGTAACTTAGGCTACTTTTATTTTAGAAAATAAATTAGGGATCCGCGCAAAAAAATTAAAACCCCAAGTAACACGCGGCCGAAGTCGTGAGGAACAGCTAGTAGATAATAATATAATGAGATAATATCCTTCCTAGTAAATAACTTTTGTATTTTGCTTAAAAGTTACTCAAGTAAACAGATTGGCTCCTACAACTAGATACAAGGTTTTCGCTAACGAAGTTACCTCACACTTATCTATTTTATACAGAGGTACTGAAACGTTTTCTTGCTGTGCAAGTGACAAGAACTGGGTAATATATAAACTGTCACCGAAAAAGGTAAAACAGGATTTTTTTTTTCTGTAGGCTGTCTTTCATAGAATAATAGTCCGTAACTAGTTGCACTCTCCTTCGTAATCGACTAGTACTTAGAAATACATGACATTAGTTGCGAACGATTCATATAAGCTTTTACTGGTTCTTTTTTATCAACGTTTATTAAACAATGCGTGATAAACAGTAATTTTAGATAGGGCTGGGTTAAATATTTGCTATCTCTAGTCAGCTTCGGACCGTCGTTCGCCTTGATTCCATCGAGTAAATTGCTTTCGCCGGGAGAGCTTGAAAGCGTTCAAGCATCGACACATTTGTATTGCTAGAGCTTAAGTTATCAAACTTTAAAATGATTGATTAACATGACTCGACAATTAAATTTATACGAAATAATCACATGAGCTAAATTTTTTTTCGCATTAATAACGACCTTAAATAATTTGTTATATTATGATTCTTGTTAGGTTCTCGAGTGGCAACCTCGTACTGGTTAGCAAAGTTTTGCCCCACTAGATGGAGTGACGACCTAGTTACGATGGATGCAAGTGGCTCAGGTTTCTTTGGGGGAGGCCTATATTCAGCAGTGGACTTGTTAACTAACTTGCTGTAATGATGATGATAATGCTGTAACAAAACCCCTATGGTTCCGTTAAGTGCGTTATTATAATCAAACGTATAGAAATAGAACTTTGATTATTTAGTAATACTTTAAAGGTTTTGAGTTCGATTCCGCCATTCGACTACTGTCGTGAACCACTCCCAACAAGCATTTTTAGCAACAAACTAACAATTTGACTCGAAAGAAATTATTCTTTTGATTTATTATACTAAAATTTACTCTAAAAATAAGGACGGTAACATTTATTTGCTATAAAATTAAACTTTTATCTTCTATTTTATCCGTCACTTGTGGTTTTTTTTTTACTTATTATAAGCCAGTGCTTGACCACAATCCCACCTGGTGGTAAGTGGTGATGCAGCCTTAGATGGTAAATCGTACTGTCTTAGCGTAACAAAAGCCTATTCACTCTTGGCTTGAAGACGCCCAGATTGTATTCGGACGGAAAGATAGACGCCGGCAAATTATTCCACTCCTTTTCTGTATACGCATTACAAGAGACGAAGCAAACAGTTTGGTTCTAATGCGTGGAACAAAGGGATGAAGACCCGTCGACCGCCCGCCGCTCGCCTGGTTGAAATTATCTTCTTTATCTTATTAAATAATTTGCCGTAAAATATTTTTATTATTTATTTCATTCCACTTGAAGGTTTCAATTCTACCGTGTGTACATTAGAGATATGTACATGTATAATGTTAGTGATTGCAAATAGGGTTATTGTTATTTTTCTGTGAAACATATCTGATGAACTAATGATGAATAATTACTCTATATCAGTTATGGGTAAGAAATAAAACGATCGTATTTGTTACAGATCATGACAGGCAGCCGCCGGCACGGCGAGAATCAAATGGGAGCGAACTCGATAATGTGAATCAAAGAGCGGCCTGCACCGGGCCGTTTCTCACACTACACAAGCGCCGCAAGCGGCCGCTACTAACCAGATCCCTGCGACATGATGCAGCTCTGCTGGATGATCTACAACTGCATCAAGTGCAGGCAAGTGGTGATGACTGATGACGGAAATAATGACTGTTCGTATAGTTTGTAAAAGTTTTGCTGGCCGCTCTGCTGCGTCTGCGAACGATCTTCCTATCACAATAAATATATTGTTATTTTTAAATTCATTAATCTATATTTATATACTTTTGTATAATTGTGTTTATTTAGTAATTTACTTTGTATGAATTTTAACGTGCAGTGAAGTAAATGGTTTTTTTTTCGTTTCATCTCGCAATTATTTTTAGACTGTTCTATTAAAATTTAGAAAAGAACAAGACACATCATAAGGAGATTATTCTAAACATTGAACTTTACGAATAGGCCCATCTTTCTCGTAACAATATGCTGACTAGGATTTGACTGGATTGAGTTCACCGCAGCACACCGATAAAAGGATTGATTATAATTTGGGATTAATGTTCATGTGAGCATGTCCCTGTCATGGTCATTTCGTTATCCTTCGCAGCGTCGAGACGACGTCGGACGTAAATTTAAATGACCATGTTTTGTATTCATGAGGTGTTTCCAGCTTTGACATGCGGTTGCGTCCGTAGTATTATTATTTGTTAATCTTTTTTATACACATAAATAAAATTGAAGTGGCTGTCTGTAATATCGAAATAAGTGACTTTTATAGAGCTAAGGACTATTTGGATGTCATTATAATATGAATAATCAATTAAAATTTGTGTATGTCTGTCTGTCTGAAATTTCACGAACAGATAGAGAGCAGTGCCAGGGCTGACATAGGTTATATTTTATCGAAAAACTAAAGGGCAAAATAAATAATAAAAAGAAATGATAATAAATGGTAATGGATTATCTTAAATCTGAACAATACCATATTAAAAAATTTTACCCAGGCGAAACTAAGGCAACATCTTCGTTCTAAGTAAATAAAATTGGTGAAACTAACGTCTCTGGCAATTGTAGTAAGTATCGAATTTAATTTTTATAAAAATTTAAACCGTTTGGATGAGTTACGGTAAACAGATGTTTATTAGCTTTGAGTCGCAAGTGTTGACCCTGATTGTAGACGACATATGTGTTATGCACGTTTCTTGGCACGGCCCAGAATATGTCTCTGGACAACTGCGTCGCAATGCAAAGGAGTTTGGAACTCTTGTCACACGATACGTTTTCTTATTGTACTTCTGAGCCTATTGAATATACAAAGAGTTATATAAGTTCTCAAATCCAAGTTTTGTTATAAATATGATTGTCTTTGTCTTCTATATTGATGTTTATAATAATAATAAAAAAACCTACAGAAAATAGGTAAGCAGGCAGGCAGACAACACAACGGATGTAATATATTACGCGCAAATACAAACACTCCGACACAGACGTAGCATTTCAGGTAACATTGATCAGGATAATGTAAAACTGCCGTGAGAATCCTTGCTAACAAACTACGAGGACATAGAAACGTAGGAAATTATTGTTGGTTTGATTAATGTTATGTACCGTATTTCATGCAAACAAAGTTTCAGCCAAAGATCTTTTTACCGCGTAAGGAATAGAACATATTTTATTTGGTAGTATACAAAGCGAAGCATTGAACATTTTAGTCAATTTATATTAGGCATAAGGTACCTGTAGGTACTTGTTTTTTTTTACTCCGGAGTAATTGAAGCTACGTATTCGATCCTTATGGGTCGATCAATTGAATCGTAATTTTTCTTAGTACACAATGTTCCAAAATTAAATATTATCATTTTTCAATAGTTTTTTATATGAATCAAATCCACTAATTCTAAATATTCAGAAAAGGGTTTTTAGGAAATATAATATTGTCCAATTACTGCAGAATATTTTAGCTATTTAAGCTGGCGCTGTACCAACCGATACCCGAGTTAACTGTTAAGAACACCGCTGCTGTTCTAGCACAACGTAAAGTGATTATGAGCACTATATAGTGCTCATAATCTGATATCGATGTTCGACCCCGCTATCGTAGAGCACTTCATTCCCAAGAGATTCGAACAAGGTTTTGTGTAAAATTTGTATAAAATAAAATTATAAAATAATATTAATAAAAAAATAAAATTATAAAAAATTGTATAAAATAAATAGTTAAATTAATTAAAAAGTAGGTACATATTTATGACAAATATTGGGAATACGTAAAATGTCATTTTAGTCGCTGGAATTAAAAACAGTTTTTAGACTAAAATTACAGTTTCAAAGCTATCGATTATATATATATATGTGTGTGTGTGTGTGTATATTGTGATGTATATTACAAATACGACATCCTTAAACATACAACGGCTATTAGTGTTAATAAAAGTGATGCCGGTACTCATTCCAAATTATACTTAGGTGTGGTATACAAATTATAAATATAATTTAAATACCAAATCAAATTAAATGGATCTGTATGAACTCTACGGTCGAGTTTTGAGATAGTACTCTTATTACATAATAATTCTGTTTATGATGTGTCTTGTTTATGTTCGCGCCATAGTGTAGGGGACCGGTAGCCAAATGGGACTTTTGATTAACTCAGACATTTGATATACAGCGCTACTGTTGTTAGAGAGACGATAATAATTCACCGGTTAATATTGTTATTGTTATTGAGATGTCGTAAGAAGTGACGAAGGGAAGCTGAAACATCTGATAACATCTGGAAATAATAACATAAAAACCTGCAGTTGTCAACCCGCTTACCAAGCGTTGCAACTATGCCAAATATCGTATAACACATGTTACGTACATCAGTGGACTAAATAAATAAAATGATTCAAAACACGTGCGCTGTTTTAATAAAACACTTCCATTTCAATAAATACCAACAAGTTATATGTTTACGCGTTGCCAAATCATTCGTTGTTTTATGTGTATTTTGTATTAACGCATATGGAACGCTTTTACCAACTTTCAACCATATTTGATAGCTTTGTCTTAACTCGCGTTTTAACGAAATAGCACTGACTAATTAGGAAGTAAACGTTTAATACACATGGCGAAAGAAATTGTCAAGTTTGTCCATGAGTCACTGATCCATATTAACATTTATGTCTAAGAAAAGATGATTGTGATTCATGTGCAGCTGCTTTGCGTATATTTCCTATATTTGTCGTCGTCCGTACAGTGCTGTGTTGACAAAATTGTGTATTAAAATTCCAAGCTGATACAGTGAACTCATTGACAAACCGCCAAAAATCCACAAAACAAAACAGAAGATATATTTGTTTACGGCATGCTCAAATGTAGTGAAGTGAGGTCGACGACTTACGGTTTTTGTTTTGTTTATTATTTCTTTATTTACGACTGGCTCAGCGTAGACGCAACGTTGTTAAAGGGGGAGTGAAGTTTGCACGTGCGATAAAATTTTAGTAATTCGTTGTAGAATTGCGTGAAACTTTCTAATAAGATATTATTCAGTTATGTTTCTGTCTTGTACTTCTTTTTAATCCACCAAAATTATTAGTCGTTATTATATTCTCGCCGTCTCTTTCCCTCCCTCTCGCTGTTAGTTTATTACCCCTAATTGTTTTTGAATGCGTACGCGATATTATCTTAGGCTACATGATGCTTAGTTGCGATACTTACATTTATTTATATTGATTAATAACTATGTTTGCTTCTTTGCAGTGTATCCTCGATCAATCTGCGCAGTGGAAGTTTAATGCATTTACATTAGAAAACGTCTCAGGGGGTAATGTTCTTTTTATATTTATATCTAAAGACGTATCTTCTGCATCACATCTATTAACTCTTAGCATGTCATATAATACTTAAATGTTTAATACGTGTATCTGTTGTTCGTGATAACAGATATCAGTGATGCTTAGGATGCGTCGTTATTTAACTTAATTATTTAACTTTAGTTGTGTCTGATAGTGTACAAATTTTAATAAAGGTAAAATATTATTAAAAAAATATTATTACAGTACGGTAGATAACGCATCGGTTGACGTTTTGAATGTCACGACTAACGCGTGTATACGGAATACCATCAGACGCAGGCTCTTGTCATTTCACAGTCGTGAGACATTTGGCGCCGTAAAACCGCAGGTTTGCTTTCTACCTACGTTCATGAGAGATGAAATAATTATCCGAATTCATTGGGATGCTAATTCGGATATTATATTATATGTATTTAAAGCGTTTAGCGACGCACATATTAAGACAGAAAGTGGATGTAGGATACGTGGTAGAATCACGCTGCAGTTATATTATGGCTCTAGTTGCTTTTACTGTGCTGCCTGTTCTAGATCCTCTATATTTAAAATCTGGCTTAAGAATAGTGGTTGGTTCATCAAAGCTATTACATTGGACCGCTGTCACTCCAGCTTACCGCTAGGCTATCTCCGTTACTCTGCGGATATTCTCATATTGAATTCTATCACGCAGAGAAACTGAGCCTAACCCTCACTAAACGATTGCGTTCATACAATGGATAGGACGAAAGGTTGTCGAAAGCAGCCTCGTACCGTTAAGCGAGGAGAAGGACAGCCACCCACTAGAGTGACCACCTCGTAAGACGTACAGAATGTCGATGGATGCAGGTAGCTCAGGATCGATTATAGTGGCATTTTTTGGAAAGTCTATGAGCAAAAGTAGACTTGTGATGATGATATGCTTGGTGTTTCTGGAATAATGCAGCTGCTGAAAGATTATCATGGTATTTCTTTTATTATTTTTAAACACTGACGAGTCGAGGTTTTGTATACTGCGGTTTATATTTTAATTTTAATCTATACAAATAAGTAAAATTGAAGTGCTGTTTGTAATGTCAAAATTACATCTTTTTACTAAATGCATATGAAAGTATATACAGTACTAATAACAAAAATACAATTTTTAAAGTCTTTGTCTGTCTGTCCGTCTGTCTGTCTGTTTGTTACGGCTAATCTCCGAAACGGTTGGACGAATTTTGACGGCATTTTCACTGGCTGGGATTTTTAGAAAAAGAATTAGGGTTCTTTTTATAGGAGAGGTGGCAAACGATCATGTGGCTCACCTGATGGTAAGTGACTACCGCTGCCCATAAACAACTGCAACACCAGGGGAACCAGGGGAATTGCAGATGCGTTGCCGGCCTTTTAAAAAGGAGTAGGCTCTTTTATTGAAGGTCCCTAAGTCGTATCGGTCCGGAAAAATCGCTGATGGTAAAAAAATTAAAACCCCAAATAACACGCGGGCAAAGTCGCGGGGAATAGCTAGTTAAATTATAAAGTTGTTCAAAAATCAATTTATACGAAAAATTTTGATGAAGGTTTTTAAGATCCTCGTTTTCTCCACACGTCAATTTCTTATGCATCATAAAATTATTTCATAATCGAAACCACATAAAACTTACGATTTTGTAGCAGATAACATAGGATACACATTGTTTCGGAACGAAAATATGACTGTTGTCATTTTTCTCATATTATCTTTATCTAAATGTTCGGAAAAGCTAGTAGATGCAAAGTGGAGAGTTTTGCGGTATGTGTAGTATTATATATAGTAGTGACTATTGTGAACCATAGCCTCTTTGTATAGTGTCCAGTGTTTAATATTCACTAGTTATGTTGATATTTCTGCAGGAGTGTTCTATTTTGTGTTTCAGTACGATAGAATGGAAAGAGCTCATAGCATATAGCGTTAAACTTTTGTCGTTATAGGGGCTGCCAATTTTGTTGAAGTTAAAAAAAATTGTGTATTTTTTAACATTATGTTTATTTATTTTTTGTTAACATTTGATGTGAGCCGTGGTAGCTCAAGGGCTAAGTGCTCGCTGTAAATTTCACAGTTCGCGACCCGCGGGGATCGAACACCCGGGTTCGATCCCCGCGGGTCGAATCCCCGCATCAATGAAATAGTTAATTGCAATTTTAAGTGCTGATTTACCTCGTGATCAACGGTGATGGAAAACATCGTGAGGAAACCTGCATGTCTGAGAAAAAAAGAAGAAGAATATTTCGAAGACATGTGAAGTTCGCTAACACGCATTAGGGCAGCTTGTTGGAATAGAATAGAATAGAATAGAACAGAACAGAATAGAATAGAATATTTTTTATTCAATATTGATTATTACATAATACTTATTGAAAGTCATTTTTTATTTACAACTGGTTCGGAAAACACCCCAGTCCTGGGAAGAACCAGCAAGAAACCCAGCGGGACTTTTTTTTCAAACATATAAACAATAACTTCGTTTATACAATTTTTAATTGATTTTTCATAGAACCAGCATGGTGGCGATCACCTTCATTTACTTTATTAATTTTCACTTTTATTTTAACTTTAAAGAAAATAATGACATTTATGTTAGCAGATAACGTATTTATTTCACATTTCAATCGAAACCACTGCGTGTATCATATTAAAATACTCTTGTTTAACTTATGCACACTTTGAAGATACGAGTAGCATTAATCGTTGTGTGATCACGAGATCCTATTTATTATTACTTATCGATGAACCAAAATTGGTATTTAAGACTTTAATCGATTAACGTTCGAGAAAGTGCGATGTAATTGCGATTATAAAGGATCCAGACCTGTGTCATCTGACCTTTAAGGGTCATTTAAAGCGGAGTACCTTTAAGTGATATCAGTTTTTGCTGGCAGTCACCGTTCTCGTAATGCAATAATATTTATCACTTTGTCAATAAAAAATAAAAACGAATTTATTCGAATCGTGTCGTAAAATCTTTATTCGGATCTCTGAATTCATATCGTCCCAGACGGCTTCTGTCGCGACATCTTAGATTAAGGTTAGGCACGCACTGCGAGAAAAACCGCGCCATTTTTAATCGTACTCCTGTAACACTTAGAATTGTATGTATGAACATACAATTCTAAGTGTAATATATAATTATAATTATATGTATACACAATTTAAAATTTGCGCGATAAAAAAAATTGTGGTTTGGTACAAACTTGACGCGTTGCAGTGCGGAATTGATTTGCGCGATTATTTTGTGCAGAATATATATTATTACTACGGTATTGCCAAATATAATTCCTTGCAGGAGGAGGCGTAGGTGCTCAGTTATACACGGACCAATATTCATACCAGTACCAATGTCAGGATGTGTCGCATTTCGTCTCCCGTTCTGGCAGCAGCAGTGCTAGTGTGATTAATATAGCTAATATTCCCTGTAATCACTCCTGGTAAGCTTAAAATGTTTGTGTCAAGAGTGGTTCAACAGAAGTCGTATAAAACTATTCTTATTCCTAAACTACTGTCGCTTCAAACATTGAATAATTAATGATGCTCATGGATAAGAGACCACCCCTGCGAGAGAGTGTAGAACTTTCACAGTATTATCGAAGGTTTTGATGTACATAATGATGAATACAACTTTATTGTACATCATAAACCAAAATTACATATTTAATATTTTGTACAACCGACTTCAATATAAATTATTAAGAATAACTCAAAAACTATTGGCCAGACCTATATGGGACTACATGTGAAGAACCAGCTTTCAAATTAAAAAAGAATCATCAAAATCGGTTCACCCAGTAAAAAGTTATGAGGTAACACACATAAAAAACGTACAGTCGAATTGAGTACAGGCTCCTTTTTGAAGTCTGTAGAAAATTATAGGAATTATGCGTCATTAATTTCTTGCAGGCAACATCTCATGGTGTTTTATGTAGAAGGGTTATCCTTATATATATATATATATATATATATATATATATATATATATATAAGGATAACCCTTTATCCTTTCGTAGGTTTTGAGGCCGATAGTTTAAGAATCCTAAGCTGTAGTAACAGGTTTTTTTTAAATAGAAAAAGGGTGACGACGAAAACAGACGAGCACACAGTCCACCTGATGGTAAGTGGATGCTGTGACCCATAGACATCTACAATTGTCACACCTGAGGACTAAGATGGAATGCCTCGTTTAAAGTAAAAAGGGTCCCTGGTTCTCTGCACTCACGATACGTAACACAGCAGCAATAAGCTGCTATTTTACGCCGGTATTCTGTGAGAACGTGGCCCTACCCGTATACGTGCCACAACCATAATATGGCTAACAACGTATAAATGCATCTTAGGTTCGTGTAATTATATGTTGATTTGAAATTTAGTATATAGATTTTAGTTACGTTGTCTATCTTAGGCGTATCGGCCGATATGCCTAAGAAAAGCCTTACCTTATAAAACTTAAACAGATATTTGCAAGCGTGTAAGCTAAGATTTGGTACAGGCAGCAGATGCAAAAAAATCCATGCGGATCTTCTAATTCAAATTTTGTGCAAAGGAGATTTAGTTGTGCCCGTGATTCTTTAGTTCGGAGATTACAAGGTTAAAGAGTACAAAAATTTACCGCAAAATATACAAATCTTGTCGCATCTTGACATACATAATTATTAAGACAAAAATAATTATACTTCAACGCAACAAGAAAAGTTTTGTAACGTGCCCTTTTTCAAGTTACACTATTTGAAGCTGGGTGTGCCAATCACATTACGTATTTACAAGCGGTCGTCGCAAAGATCGAGTCGTGATTTTTACAAAATAATCACAAAAATTTTGTTTTAAAGTTATAAACAAATATTTACACAATAAAAAATAAACACACAAAGAAAAGCTTAACTATAGTTTATATAAGTTCGATAAAATTATAGTTATTTAGAATTTATTTTATTTTCTAAATTTTATTTACGTAGCAGAAGAGAAGTCCGCGCGCAAAGATTTGGCACA